CAGATCTTCAGAATTTTACAGGCTCTCTCGAAATGTCTCACTGAGTTCAGCGTCAAGCATTTTGATTCTTTTACGAGAGTATTGAACTTACCCCCCTCGAACCGGATCACTTCCGATATTTCCGATTCGCCAATTTTCTGCACAGCTTCCAGAGGCCATAGTTGAGCACACAGGCACGAATTCTTCGGAACTCTTTTCCTCTCACGTACTCGGGATTTTTATCTCTTCGCTGATCCTTCTTTTCCAGAGCTTTTCCAGAGCTTTGGGAAGGACGCCTTCGCTGCTGTTGCCCAGATGGCGTCGGACGGGAGTCCCCGGTGACCCCAGCACCACCCAAAGCTGAGTTCGAAATAGATTCAGTCGCACCGGACGCCGCCCCCAGACATCACGCCTGAGAAGCAAGGCTATTATTGAACGCTTCGTTGTGGGAGCCGGTGTCCCAACACGGGACTGCCCACAGGTCCGTCTGGCGGTGTCGCCTGTTTCCACAGCGCTGTGCCACCGCCTGCTGGTCAGGTCATCCGCCGGTCACGTGACGTACGCAGCACAGCGGCGTCCAGGCACATCTGATACCATCCCACGGATGGAAACAGACTTAGCCTGTCTAAAATGCCTACCACTAAAACGGTTCCACACATGTAATGTGAAAGCACAATACGTTCATGCGATGACATAGGCGACATAACGTGCTGTTTTGGTCGTTTCAATGCGAGGGGCTGGGATGTGCAAAATGAAGTGCGTTCGAGTGGTTATTATACGCACGACGTGAGCCCACGTAGTTTGGATTTCCGCTGAATAGCACCGGTCCGCAAACACACTGCGGAAAGTCAGGGTCATGCTGCAAATTTTTATGAAGAGAACATGTGAAATTGAAACTTCTCATCCAACGTAATCATGACTGATCACGATCATGACAAGGCAGAGAACGAACCTCACTTTCACTACCCGAAAACATGACGATATGTTTCGATTTTGACCACAAACCAATGACCGAATTCAACTACGTCTAGTCTCACGGACCCAAATATGTACCCCGCTCAGATTTTTTTTTCCGGGAGCCAGTTCCTCATTGGTGGTTCCGGAACACGAAACACCTAAACCAGTCCGGAGCAAGACTGAGGGAAGCAGCAGAAACCAGGATCCAGTCTCATGTTAAGCCGACAGATCTAGCAAGAACCAGGATCCAGCCTCATATTAAGCCGACTTGCAAGAACCAGGATCCAGCCTCGTATTAAGCCGACAGATCTTGCAAGAACCGGGATCAAGTCTCATATTCAGCGAAACATTGAGGACCAGGGTCCATGGTTTTGTTTTGTCGAAGGAACCGGTAGGAACAAAGAACCAAATCTAGGAACTATGCTCATTTCTACATCAACCACTCAAAAGATAAAGTCCAGGATCATAAGATAACAAGGATCCCGAAATAACTTTCCATACTGCATTCTGGCCTTGTACACCACTTATTCCGCGCTCGGGTGTGATCAATTTCCCCACACACCCCCCCGTGAGGGTTTTTTCAGGATGACTTCCGAACAGCGCGATGTGGCCACGCCAAACTTTGCATAGCTAAAGGCAACTGGATAGCAGAACTTTTGGTGTGAACAAAATATATGTTCCTTATAAGATCGCTGACCTATGGCGAGCCAAAGTTAGATCGTGGCTGCCAGCAAATGACATTTATAGGGAATCGTTCATCTAATGTGACAACGGAGTGTTAGACAAAGCCATACATCCATGAGATAGTTTCATTGGAAGTCCCTCAACTGAATGTAATAATTACAACAAATCCATTGCGGTAGGGTCAGGTATGAAGGTCAGATCGAAATAAAAACTCATCTGCCTTTTTACACAAGAGCCTCCTTTGTAAGGTAGCTTCTGGTAATCATTTCAAATGCATTGCTAATATGAACCGCAGCAGACACATTACATGGACTTTTTAAAGGTCAGATTTGGTCGCTGACCTAAAGACCCAGGTCAGCATTTTGTGTTTAGGAACATAGCACCTAGCATAATCCGTGACGCTTATTTAATGGCAAAGAAGCAACAATATCGTATTATTCGTCACTTTGACCTTTCGAAGGTCAGCAAAGGTCACTGGGCTTTAATCAACACCTTTAACCTGTTGCTCAAAGCAGATATCTACGTTCACGGCAGTTGCGTGGGACGTCTGCCGGCACTTTGGACACCAAACTGCGGTTTGATCTTATTTGACTTACTTAACCCCGATGCCATAGTCCAGGAACATGCAAATTCGGCATGAGCAATTTCACATACGGGCCAACCCACCCTGTCGATATGGTGTCTCCAGCTATCTTAGCTTCTGAGATCTTGGGGGGGGGGGGGGGTGGGAGTCAAATTGATCCCTCACTCGAGCGAAGGTTATTCAACCGGCTACCCGGGCACGTGTTAATAACCTGATTTGATATGATCTGCCGTGGATGTTAACTCCTTACACCCCACCGCGCACGAATCATTCTGGAACCTCATATCCGGCAAGTTGTGACTCTGACGATCCGCAATCAAGTGCGGGTTTTCCCGACTGGGAAACGCGCTCACTTATTCCACCACTTGGTCAGGGTTTCGGAAGTTATTGGCAGATTCCATTACCTTTTTGAGCGTACCGGATTCGCAGTATATACCGTCACCAGTAGTGGGGTGGCTCGTTTCGGACGCGTCAAGAGCAGCCCACCGTTCCGGAAACGTTCGGGGAAGGGAAGGTGGGGGGAGCGAGCGGCGCCGGTGACGCCGGCGGCGCTGGAATAATCAGCAGGACCGGCCGGACTCCGCGGCCCGTCCAGGACTGGGTGCGGCTGGGTGTGTGTGACGGTCAGCAGCAGGACCGGCCGGACTCCGCGGCCCGTTCAGGACTGGGTGCGGCTGGGTGTGTGTGACGGTCAGCAGCAGGACCGGCCGGGACTCCGCGGCCCGTTCAGGACTGGGTGCGGCTGGGTGTGTGTGACGGTCAGCAGCAGGACCGGCCGGGACTCCGCGGCCCGTCCAGGACTGGGTGCGGCTGGGTGTGTGTGACGGTCAGCAGCAGGACCGGCCGGGACTCCGCGGCCCGTTCAGGACTGGGTGCGGCTGGGTGTGTGTGACGGTCAGCAGCAGGACCGGCCGGGACTCCGCGGCCCGTTCAGGGCTGGGTGCGGCTGGGTGTGTGTGACGGTCAGCAGCAGGACTGGCCGGGACTCCGCGGCCCGTTCAGGACTGGGTGCGGCTGGATGTGTGTGACGGCCGGCAGCAGGACCGTTCAGGACTGTGTCGCGGCTGACGTGCGGAGGCGCTGGCGAGGCCGCGGCACTCTCGCTCGCTGCTGCCGCTGGCCAGGTCGCCGGCCGCGGCCCGCCCGGCTCACGACGCGCCGTATCTGACGCCGGTCGCGCCGCGGCTCCCGTGTGATCCCTGGACATCGTCGCGAGCTTCCGTGTGATCCCTCGACATCGTCGCGAGCTTCCGTGTGATCCATCGACATCGTCGCGAGCTTCCGTGTGATCCCTCGACATCGTCGCGAACTGAGCTTGCGGCGCGGCCGCCGACGCCTTTGCATACGGCGTAAATTCACGGCAAGAGGTGACGGCCTTTATCACCTGCCGCCGGCGTCGACGAGCCAAACAAATTTCCCTGGACTGTTTGATGCTCCAAGTATGTGTTGACTCGGCTACCGATGGGCTGTCGGCCGCTTCGTCGGCTGTCGAGATTCAGCGCTTTCCGCACACTACTGCGCGGATCGCTGGGGCTCAGTCTCCTGCGGAACTTGGCCTGGGGGATTCGGACGTTTCATTGTTTTGGGCGCGCCGCTCGTTCAGTTCTGTTGGTAGCTCTTTTTGTCTGGAGTTTGGTCCGAATTTTTTGATTGAAGTCATTTCTGGGATTGGAACACCCCTAAGCGACCATAAACCAAAATATCATCATAATATTTAAATGGCATCTTGCCCACTTACCTTGGATGACGTTTGCAAATGGTGGTTCGCAGTACACCTTGGTTGTGTATCGGTTGTATTTATGTTATCCTTGAATATCTGCGTTTTTGTCCCTTTGTGACACACTGACCTGCCCCGCGTGACCTCGTGCCCTGAGGCGTGACCTGCCCCGCGTGACCTCGTGCCCTGAGGCGTGACTCGCTTCGCCGTCAGTTCTGAGTTGGTGCCGTGCCCTGTCATTGCGCAGGTTAATCAGCGCGTTCCTCAAATTGGCAAATGGCCACAACAAAATGGCCACAAATGGCCACAAATGGCAAATGGCCACAACAAATGGCCACGTGGTCATTTGTTGCTGTTATGCATCATTGAGCACTTGAGTCCATTTGCTAACTATGTGGGTAATAAATGAACCCTAACGTGTCAGAGTACTTTTAACACTTATATGATTCAAATGGAGAACAGCGTGAAAAGGATGAATGCGAATCATACACAGTTATTCCAAAAAATGAGACGGAAAGCACGCCTGTCCCCACGCCGGTGCAAAGGTAAAAGCAAAAGTTCACGACGATGAAATTCAAAAATCCTATAAACAGCTTGGAGCAAGTAAGGTTGTGTTGGTTGTGTTACATGCAAACTGAAAGACAAAACTTGGATGTGAAAGACAGAACCCCGGTTGCGTTAATGCCACGTAAATACAGCATGAAGCTTTAGGTTATTTAGGCTTTAGGTTCAGACACTATGGTGGAGTATCCTCACCTGTGTGACACGGTGATGTAGTATCCCCACCTGTGTGATACGACAGTGGAGTATCCTCACCTGTGTGACACGATGATGGAGTACCCTTACCTGTGTGACACGATGGTGGAGTATCTTTACCTGTGTGACACGATGGTGGAGTGTCCTCACCTGTGTGACACGATGGTGCAGTATCCTTACCTGTGTGACACGATGTACTCTCACCTGTGCGACACGATGGTGGACCATCCTCATCTGTGTGACACGATGGTGTAGTAGACTCAACTGTGCGACACGATGGTGGAGCATCCTCATCTGTGTGAAACGATGGTGTAGTATCCTCACCTGTGCGACACGATGGTGGAGTAGAGCAGACAGGGCGTGGAGAGTCCCGCACTACTTATCCAGATGAGGAGGATGCCCGAGATAGCTTCACACTTGCGTATCCGCCTCCGTAGCGGGTGCACGATCACCAGGTACCTGTCAACAAAACGCCGGTCGGTCGTGATGACGTCACGCAGGGGAGTAAGCCACACTGACGCTACGGACCTGCGGGGGGGGGGAGAGAACAGTACCACTACCACAGTCAGGTTTGCACCACCGCTGTCACTACCACTACCAGACTTCCATCAGCGCACGTTCTGCTAGACCGGTATCTCCATGACACCGGTAAACAGCTTTGACTGTTAAACTCCCAGAACATGCTCAGTGCTAATCACAAGCTGGTATCCATATCGCTTCTTTTTCTTTCCTTTTTCTCCTCTTCTCTCAGAAATACCTGGCAGACAAAAATAAACTGACAACGCATTTGGCCGACCGACATCTGGTGCACACACTCGCCCGTCGCTGCGAGATGCGCACGGCAGATGAGCACGTCAAGCCTCGTTTGACGACGGCAGCTCCCGTAATTGCCGGCGTTCACCGAGCTGTCGTTGGCTGGGCGTCGCTCTGATGAAGCAGGTGAGACGCGTGCGACTGTGCTTTGGCCGCCCTGACATGTGTTTCTTTAAAGAGTGCGGCTTCGACAAGAGCTGCTTTGTCGGGATGGGAGAGGGGAGGGAGCAATGTGGGGAATGTCACCGTGGGGCAGGCGGTGGCCCCCATTAACTTTTTTGGCTACGGTGGGGCTGTCATTTTACTGTTTCATGACGATTTCGCATCGGTAGCGTGGCATAATCTGGGAGGTGTGTAGGTAAACGTGAAGTGATTCAATTTGATGAAACTACACAAGGCCGGTCTACAAGAGGGAAAAATGCGCAAGGATCGTAAATATTTTTTATTTACTTCATGGTTTCCATACCACTCAGATTTTGAGTTGCATGGGAACCTCAGCGAAGTGCGGCGCTTCGTTTTGCAATTGTTTCTGATTTACAGTTATAACTACCAGTCTACCAGTTTGTCTCCTCATGAAGTAGCTTTTGGAGCCTTTTTACCAACCTCGTGTAACTTTTTGAGACTCCATTTGCTTTTCAAGCTCCATTTGCTCTAAAGCTCCATTTGCTTTTTCAGTTGGTGGGATCGGTGTCGAGGAAAACCCTCTCAAAATTAGGAAGGGGCATAACTACCTTAGCCCTCTACGGCTTATGCTGGAGGTCCCACTCACCTAAAGTGTCCCACTCACCTACAGAAACTCCGTTTTCCAATGATGGGTGTGATAAATTGAGGCAATGGAGGGGGAGGATAAATAAAAATTCTTGTAAGCATCTAGCGGCATTGCCAAACTATTTACCACAAATAAATCATTCTTTTTCTTGCGCCCGAGCCCAGCGCCTACTTTTTCAAATGTTATAACTAACGAAGGTTCATGTTTGAGAGGTTCTACAACCTGAGCAGCATTTCTGACTTATCTCCAGAACAGGTTTCCATCGATAGCCATGGGAACCGATAGGGAACAATGCCATGGCGTGCATGCTTCGTTCGGACTATAATGGATGCATCCCATGTAACACGTGGCCATGGAAAACGATAGGGAGCAATGCCATGGTGCGCATGGTTCGTTCGGCCTATAATGGATGCATCCCATGCAGCACGTTAATGAGTCCCAGCCTTAGCCATAACGAAGCGTCAGTTTGAAAAATTTTATCCGCACAAGGACGTTCGGTGTGAACTCCTCAACACGGCGGCGACTGCACCCGAATTTGGCTGGAGAATTTCTCAATGTTTAGCTACAGCCACACTCCGGCCGATCATCGACCACATTAAGCCGTCTCAAACCGGCGTGACAAAGGTGTATGCACAGCAGCCCTCAGGCAACTCGTCAAGCGCATACATCGATTGAAATGTGCTCGTGATTTTGGCAGTCCACCGGTCTTTTTGCATAAGTCATTGGGTGCTATGCATCGCGTCCGCGAGACCGCTGACTCGTCGCACGCCCCAAGGTAGGTTCCGGGCTAATGTGGGCGACCACGCAGGCACTCGGGGAAGACTGATCACGACGAGCAACGTGTAGTGCTGTCCTGTGCAGACTCTGCAGTGTCGAACTCAAGAGACCGAGCCTGTGACTTAATTTAGGGTGACCTCACCTACCCTGGTCTTTATTCTTTCTGCTGAGTGCTGTCAGCACTTGCCAACTGGTTTCTTGACTGCTCCATGCCCCTCTCCTTTGAGCCCCTCTTGACATTTTTCAACTCCTCGATCCCTTGCACCAAACCAAACGCCGTCCTCCACTCTTCGTCTTAACGCTATATGTCTTCTTGACCGTTTTAAGTCTCTCCGATTCGGGCCTCCTCTCGCTTCGTGGCTCGAGCATCCGTGGCAGTCTCTCCCCTCCACGTGCCTCTCCTGGACGCGCTTCCACTCATGAGATTCGCTGCGTGGAGTGTCCGAAGCCTGGCGAACGTTAATCACCGGTAGACATCAGTTGCTCGGGGAGCCGTCGCTTCTCCGCTTCCTCCGTGCCCATTCCAAACACACCCCTGCTCATGAAGTCGGCCAGGCAGGCTAGCCGATGTCTGGCGAACGGAAGACACCATCACCATGCAAAGATGTGCAGTGACCCCGTGCCAGCGTGACCCGTGATCCCGCGCTGCACCGTTCGATTTCACGGGCTGGCAGGTCTGAGCGAATTGACCGGGTCGTTGCGGGGGCGGGACGAAGGCCAACCGAGCAGACCCATCGGCCGCTGCTGTGACGATCAAGGTGGAGCGAGGGCGAGACAGTCACTGTCCGCCTCAGCAAACAGCACCACCGTGGTGCTGCATGCCGCGGCGGACAGTGACTGTCTCGGCAACATGCCGCGGCAGTTAAACACTGTCTGACAACATGCCGCGGCAGTTGACAACGTACGTGTTCCATATATTTTAGCAAGTTAGTTTTCTGCGTCATTTGTAAATGGTATTCTCCCAATGACCTATGAAAAATTTGACATACAAAGCATAAGAAATACGAGATGAAGGGTGACAACCCGGCGACGCTGTAACCCTCGCTGGAACACTGGGACCTCAGAGGCCCCTTTGAAGTTTCCGTGAAGGACTTTCAAACCTGTAAACGCATAACCCGAAAATTTCGGTACCTGAGTTCTTAGGCAGTTTCTGAAAGTCTTACCACCCATACGGGTGGCCGGTGAAATAGGACGTGGCTTGTGGGTCAGTTTGGTCAAATGCTGGTGGTGGTGAGGGTGGGGAAGGGGGTGGAGGGCTGCCAGGTCCCCTGGTCGCGCTGGAGTGAGAAAACGTCGATCCGACGACATTACGTCCGTGCGACCGCATTATTATAATATATTCGTCGGCCACACGGCGTTAAAAGTAGGCCAGGGTCATTGTAAATGCTCGGAACGCATAGCAGACATGATTGCAAGAAATATCCGAAATATCATATCCGAAAGCTGCAGCACTCGGTGACTTCAGCTCCAGGTAGCGGCCATCGCAGGTACGATTTCCTTTACACAGTCCACGCTCTACCAAGAGCCAAAAGGCCCTTGTCGGCAGCAGCCCAAAAACCAGAGTGGATTCTCCGCTGGTCAGTGTGGCGAGGCGGGACAGTGGTACCACTTTTTAGTTTTTGGCTCTCTTGACCTTCGGGTAGCGGGCTGCCAGCGGACCGCAGCCCGCAACAGCTGACGACTGCAGAATCCACAGTGGATTCTACAATCGGTCTGCCAGGTGTAAACAGGTCTTCAGTTCTGTCCGGTGATAATTGAACAATAAGCACTCAGGTGGCTGATTATGACAGAAAGAAGCGCAAGCAGTGCAGCTGCGGACATTCTTTGAGCCTTTCTCATTACTGCACTGCACCGGTGATTTTGCCGACTTAAACGGAGTGTCCAACATTCATATGGGGTTTTGAACTGAAATAGCCAGCTTGAAGACCTTCCGGTGCTGTTCACAACCCTGTTCGTAAGACCTAAACTCCTCTAGTTTCTGAACCACACGCCCGTGAGAGTGGGGAGAATATTGCGAGGAGAGTGCTTCAAAGTCACCTTAGCATTCCTGGTGCCATAATGACGTCATTCAAATTCTGCTATTCCATAAGCCATGTGGTAATCAAGGTCGAGGAAAATGGAACTGTCGTAGCGCCCATATCTGGCGGCGGTGAACATAATTTGCGGATATAACGACCGCCGATGGGCTCTCAGTCAATGTTGTGCAAGGAACAATGACTTAATCCAACCATAACACACTGAGCGGCATATTTACTCGACAGAGCATTGTAATGTCTAGAACAGTCTTTTCCGCTCAAAAGGCATACGAATAGTTTTAAGTGACCTTGTTTCTACATATCTGATGCTTGCTTCAATGTCTTCACATGTGAAACATTCCCTTTCATATCCAGATCAATCCGTTACCCATTTCATGTGGCCATGGTAGCAGTTTAGGCTATGTTAACAATCCAGATGCATGTTTTATTTGAAAACATGTGCAGGGCTTTATGACCGTCTAATTCGCCCAGCTTTCTGCAGTTGCGTTCCTAATTTCAGTGCTATGTGCTATCGCACGATTTTTTAAACAAAACATTCAGTTTCCATTGAATACCATTGAGCTTGGACCATTCGTCGCTGATCATCCGTAGGGCTCAAATTAAATGGCCACGACCCACGTTTTCGGCTCAAGCGACCTGTCGGCTTAAATTGACCTATCGCTACCGGGTCTGGAAGGAACATGATTCCTCGAATAGCTGCTGAATGATTCCCCTCACATGATTACCTTCTGTCATGCCTCTTAACCCTTTCATAGCTACCTAATTCACAGGCGTTAACGAATTGCGTTATATTCGACATACATAGATTACGGTTTGGTTGGTTGTCAAGCGACAAATATACATATTGTTCTTTGCTTCCGCAGAGTTTGGCTTTGTAAACCTCTCACAACTTATTTTCAAAGCCACACGTGACAAAAAGTGCAATGATCCTTCACTGGCTCAGCCCCGTCCAGCTTACACCTGTAGGCACGTGGCCCCAGAGCATACTTAAACAGCTGTGAGAGGTCCACAAAATCCCTGGCATTGGTGACGAGCGCCTATATCTGTAAACCTGGTTACATGCA